TCATTATACCTCACTGTACCTCATTATACCTCATTATACCTCACTGTACCTAATTACACCTCATTATCCCTCACTGTACCTCATTATATCTCATTATCCCTCACTGTACCTCATTATACCTCATTATATCTCATTATACCTCACTGTACCTCATTATACCTCACTACACCTCATTATACCTCATTGTGCCTCACTACATCTCATTATACCTCATTATACCTCATTATACCTCACTACACCTCATTATACCTCACTACACCTCACTGTACCTCATTATACGTCACTGTACCTCATACGTCACTGAATCACATTATAACTCATTACACCTCACTGTACCTCATCATACCTCATTGTACCTCATTATACCTCACTGTGCCTCACTACACCTCACTGTACCTCATTATACCTCATTATACCTCTCTGTACCTCATTACACCTCACTACACCTCACTGTACCTCATTATACCTCACGACACCTCACTGTACCTCATTATACGTCACTGTACCTCATACCTCACTGAACCTCATTATAACTCATTACACCTCACTGTACCTCATCATACCTCATTGTACCTCATTATACCTCATTCGTCACTGTACCTCATTATGTCACTGTACCTCATTATACCTCTTTATATCTCATTATACTGTACCTCCTTATACCTCATTGTACCTCATGCATCACTGTACCTCACTGAACCTCATCATATGTCACTGTACCTCATTATACTCCACTGTACCTCATTACACCTCACTGAACCTCATTATACCTCATTATATGTCACTGTATCTCATTATACCTCACTGTACCTCCCTGAACCTCTTCATACATCACTGAACCTCATCATACCTCACTACACCTCACTGTATCTCATTATACCTCATTATATGTCACTGTATCTCATTATACCTCACTGTACCTCCCTGAACCTCTTCATACATCACTGAACCTCATCATACCTCACTACACCTCACTGTATCTCATTATACCTCATTATATGTCACTGTATCTCATTATACCTCATAAAACCCTGATGAGTTCAAATAACGCACAACCAGTTAATAAAAGATGCAGAAATTACATAAAAAGTTTAGACATTCAAATAAAACATTGAACAGGTGTGTATTCTGACAACTGTCATGGCTGTGAGCGTTCACCCTGCAGTGTGTCTGAGGTGGACTGACCCGGTTGTTCCCAGTTTGGTCCTTGTAATAGATCCAGTTGAGGTTTTCGTCCAGGCGGTACTGAACGCTGTACTTGGTGATCCACTCGTCAGCATCGCAGCGGCCCTGAGTCAGGATCCCAGAGACCACCGTCACCTCCTTCAGGTCTATCTGCAACCACTGACTGTTGTCCAGAAACTTAGAGAGCCACGCACACCTGCAGGACACACACACACACACACACAACTCAGAACAAACAGAACGTCTTTGCTTTCTATAAAAACATCTGTATTATTTATTATCATGGTTTGGATAAGAAGAGTATGAATGAGGTGAATGTTTTGGACGTACCCGAAGCCCTGGTTGTTGAGCCGGGCCTTACTCGGGAGCCAGGAGGAGAACCAGCCGGTGTACTGGTCCTGGTTGGAGCAGGTGATCTGGTCTGAGCTCACAGATCCGGCCTCAAACCCCAGCGGTTTGTGATAGGGACACTCTACACAAAAAGATTAGAAAAATGTTGCTTCCTGTTTAAAGATGGCCACTAAAATCAGACAGAACACCCGTTTGGACTCTAAACCCTCCATCCTCTCTGGTGTTTCCCCTCCGCTGGCTCTGAAGACCACCACAGCCCAAATGTGACCCACATCCTGCCCTAAAGCCAGCAGCTTAATTCTCCTATGAGGGATCAGTGAGGTCCATTAGAGCCTGACAGATGGCGGCCATCTTCTCTCCTCATGACTGAGACAAGCGATAAAAGATGGATGCCATGAAGGAGAACCTGTTAGATCCATTCAGTGATTCTGGTCCAAACCTGTGGAGCGCTTCATATTTTGGACCACTGAGTCTGCTTTTTGTCCTTGATGTCCTTGTATTTTAAATGTTTATTTCTTTGCTTTAATTATTTACGTTTGACTGACTTCGGTTGGTTTTCTTCGTTTTTATGAGCTGAAATGAAGCTGATGTCACAGATGAAGTGACCGCTCATTTGTTTGGTTGTTTATTCCAGTTTTAGGCTTTTCCAGTAAAAGGTTCCATCCGGGTTAATCCCTGCATTACGTCTCTTCCGGCCGACACATCTGTGAGTCGTAACAGGTTTTTATGTAAGAGTACCGTGTCTGGACGCACATCGCCCGCCGACATCCAGCACCTCTTATTGTTTGATTCCAAAATATTAAAGACAAACAAACTCCTGACCATCAAACCAACAGATTAAAAGGTGTTTTTATAAATGTGTGTCTGTTGTTGGGAATAAAAAACACATTTCCTGAAATCTGATGATTCCAAACAGGCAAAATGATCTCTTTTTAAATCACAATAACTAACAATAAACACCTTTATGTCTGTGGTTCTTACATTTCAAACACTAAGAAAAGTAAAAGCTGTCCAAGAAAGACAGGAGGACAAACCCGGCATGCAGTCCATGTCTTTCACCATCGAGCTGCCAGAACCCATGAAGGGAAGCTCTGTTGGAGATTCTCCTCCTTCACAGTCACATTTACAGGACTTCCTGTTCCAGGCCTCCGACACAGCAGCCTGAGCCACACAAACATTCAAATATGGTTCATTTGATCAAAACACTGTTAAAATATCAGAATAAAGTCTGATCAAAACACATGAACAGAACAGATTCAAACAGGCTGATAGAAAATCAGCAAAACATGAGCTAAATTTATCAAAACATTAGCTAAAAGTTTAAAATCGGCAAAACAGAAACTAAAGCTAACAGTATCTAAAATCAACAAAAAAAAATCCTAAAGCTAAATTTATCAAAACGTTAGCTATAAGTAGCAAATCACTTACTAAAGCTAGCTGACCAAAAGCTAAAGGGAGCAGGATTGTAGCTTAAAGAAGCAAAATATGGATAAAAGTTGAAAATAGACAAACTATTCATGAACGTTGCAAAACAGCAACTGACAGCTAAACAAAACAAATGCTGAAGCTAAAAGTAGCAAAACTTCAACTGAAAGCTAAACAAAGCAAAACAAATGCTAAAGCTAAAAGTAGC